CCGGCCAGACACGCCCATTTTTCTATCGTCCAATCAGGTGCGGCCGGCCAGACACGCCTATTTTCATATAGTCCAATCAGATATGATCGCCCAGATACGCCCATTTTCCTATAGTCCAATCAGATATGACCGCCCAGATACGCCTTCCGAATTTGGCTGCAGAGATACCTACTTGGGTGCCTGTAATAACAGAAATAAAATGATTAAATCATATTTGAATTGTTTTTATAAATTTATTCATATGTAAATGAGATGGGCATTTGATATCACAATATAACGATCGCAGACTTGTGAATCGAATAGAATTGAAATCGTATCTTGACAGACTTTGTGATATCGAGAAAAACCATACTATCATACAAACAAATCAATATAATATCTTATCGTGGTAAAGCTGGTGATTTGCACCCCTACTGTGTAGTGTATTTTGTTGAACAGAGAATGTTGTTTATTGTAACTGATCTGTAAAATAAAACAAATCAACAATAATAAATTATCTTCTTTCCTCCAATCCACTTGTCATTAGCTACGTGCCTCTCAAGTTAGCAAGCTAACATTTAGATAAACTAGCATAGGCTATTGCCTTGTAAAACTTTATCCAGAACAATAGATCTAGCGTAGAGGTAAATATATCAGTGTTAGTAATGTTATCTTTGTCGTCCTCAATGAAATGCATTGTTTGTCTGAAATCTTTACTTCTCTGCAAAGAAAAATAAACTCTGCTGCAGTCAGTACTAATCAATTCAATTTAGTTTATTTATATGTAGTGAGTCACGTGGGTACGTGTCACTTGTTGTATGACAAATATACGGGGTATATATTTATGCATACTTTTCACGAGTTCTTCATTTTTCTGACTGTAAATGCCGTGCATTGAATTTAACAGAAATGTGAACGAGAGACGTTATTATCTTTGACCCATCAAATGAATGGAGTCATTTATTTTCAGAATCAAAGTTTAACATCAAACATTTACATTAATTTGGCAAAATATGAAAATAATAACAGACAGTTTCACAAATAATGAACTTCAAATCACTCGGCGGTGATTTGAGGACTTTGCTTCAGATATTTCTAAAATATCTGTACTGATTTTGTGAGAGAGAAGAGTTTAAGATGAAAGGAGATTATCTTACAGAGAACTATGTGAGGGAATTTAATCTGTTTGACCAGAAGTTGCACGCTCCGTCAGATCTCAGCTTTGCCCACGGTACACTTGGTCGAAGAAGAAGTTTTACCTTGTTGATGATCGATCACCTCAGTAAGAATCCTTTTCAACTGATATCAGCGTCTCCGTTGAGAACTGCTAAAATCCTTAGAGAGTCGTGCGTGGTTAGCTCAAACAGAAATTATAATTCCAAACGTCTCTGGATTCTCGGCAACTCCAAAACTCTCCATAACTCTAGTTCTCTTCTGAACTCCTTCAGAACTTTTCCATTCTCCATGGAATCTACTGCACTCTTTGGAACCGACTGCACTCTAGACTCGACTCATAGAACCGGGAAGTTGTCACATTTTTAATTGAGTTTACTTCCGAGTTTACTTCAGAGCTTTCTGATTCGTGGATGGACCAGAAAGAGGAGTGGTTTTTTGACGTAAGTTATTATCAAAAGTCAAGGATTGTTTTCAACATACAGAAAAGATTATTGCAGTCGACCAGACTTCGTGGAGTCTCACTCTTGGTAATCTTCTGAAAAAGTTTAAACATGACATCTTTCTCGGTAAACATTTAGTTGACCGAAAACCAACCTTTCACATACT